GGTTCCATATAATGTCACTTTTAAACCTTTTCTTAATCAACAAGGTTATTTCAAAGCTTCAGGCCAAACCTGACATTTTCTCCTCAATAACATTCAAACTATGATTTCCAATAAGAATCTTGATCCTAAATCTTTAAATCACAAAGAAATAAAGGTTCCAGACCACGGTAATCTTAAGGGATATAATAGAATGAGTTATAGCATATAACACACATACAAATGTCACCCTTATATCCAAAGATACACCTCTCCTTGATATGCCACCATTATCCCATGGTACACCTCTCCTTGATATGTCACCCTTATCCCATGGTACACCTCTCTTTGATATGTCACCCTTATTTCCTCATCAAAATTATTTTATAAAAATAATTCCAAATAGACCGCAGCCATTGGAATTATTATCTGTCCAAAAATCATTAATATCAAAACTTCAATTTATGATAAAATAACAACTTTTATCAAAACACAAGGTACATCTCGAATCCAGTCAACAATCCGGTCAATACATCGAACAAGCATTGTCCGATTTAAATACTTAGAAAATAATTTCTAACCTTGTCCGGATATCAAGTCTGGACAATATACCGCATAAGTTTTGGTCGGTTTAACACTTAGAAGCAAAATCATCTTTGTCCGGATATCAAGTCCGGACAACAATCCGCTCAAGACTTGACCGATTTAAGACTTAGAATAATCTCAACAACTTGTCCGGATACAAGTCCGAATAACACTTCACACAACCTTTGACCGGTTTAATAATATTCGGACAGTACACTGCTCAAGGCTTGTCAGGTTTAAGAACAATCCGGGCAAGCTTTGTCCGGTTTAACACTTATCTGGTCACTCTTTGTTCAGATAAACACTTAAACAAAATATGCAACGTTTCTTTCTAAAGAATAATAACATGAAACATGCAAATAAAACCAGTTGTAATTTTATGCAAAAAGGTTTAGAAACCACTCACCTTAACAAGCTTTTGAAACCAAATACTTGCAATCAACTTGGAATCACCTCTTTTGAAAACCAACACTTGCAGTTCGGCCAACTCTTCTTTTTAAATCACTTAACTTTTTCAAAATAGCAGGGAGAAGCAAATGAGGCTAAGCCCCCTATTTATACCTTCTAAAAGTGGAAGGTCGGCTAAACAGTCTCTTTCCCACTTTCCACCTCATGCATAAACATGCACACTCATACATACATCTATGCACATAACAAACACACACACACACACACACACACACACACATATATATATATATATATCTTTATCCAATTAATGCATAAATTCACATACCAACATGTATCAATTTATCATGCTATCACGTAATTATTTAATCAAATAATCACACATTAATTACCTTGGGTAATAACCAAGATCCGGTTATCACATAATATTCGAATTTTTTGTTTAATCTAACAATTTATCAGAGACAATCAATTTAGAAGATGAAGATGGTGAATCGTCTTCACATAAGAAATGTGAAAAAGCTGAAGGTGTCTGACAATGCTATATAATCGTATTCATGTAATTCATGCATCAATGCAAATTTTGACCAAAATTGAGAAAAGAATTAAATCAAGAAATTGTTGATGAGCAGAAGAAGATATTAGAAAAAAAGAAGTTAGCAACTAAACGAAAAAGCGGTAGATTTTTTTTTATAAAAAAATTTCTTAGGGCTTGCAACATATTCCTTATTTATATATGAAAATAGTCAATAAACACAATTTTTACATTTTTGTTCACATAATTTTTTATGTTTCCTCTCCATCTCCAAATCATTCTCCTAGGGTTTTCAAATTCTTCTTGACCGTCGCTTCACAATCTATCTCTATGTCGTTGTAACTGCTATGTTCGAAGGGTTTTTTTGTATCACTGTGGAGAATAGATTTTTTTGTCAAGTAGATAAGACGAATTTAGGATTCATTATATTTGTCAAAACACAATATTAGCACTAGAATTTTTTTTTATTTTTTTTTTAAATAATTTAGCATCAATGTCAAACATATATCAAGTGTTGAAATAGTTATACCTCACCTTATTCAATAAGGTAAATTATAACAAATTTGTTATATTTATATTGTTAATTTAAACTCTTGAATTGTTTATAGTTTCATGATTCAATAACATTGATTTGTAACTTCGTAACATGTACTAATAGCAATTCATTTATATTATTCATAAACATAATTAATAATTTATTATTGTCATATACTAATTTATATTAATAATCAATTAGTTATCCATTAGTTTTATATTTAAAATACTAATTGTTTAGGGTTTAAAAAAACTTATTTACGTAGGTCTCTAACTTATTAATTTATATTAATACAGATTTAATATTTGTTTATTTTATTTATAGATTTAATAAATGATTATTCCCTATACTACTTTATATTAATAATCAAATAATAATTTTTCATATTATTCATACACATGCTTATTATTTTCTATAACTAATAAGTTTTAGTTTAAACATTTACATGAAATTTGTTGGACTAAAAAGTTTGTATTTTAGACAATAATGTTGGCTATGAAGATTATCTTGTAGAATGTTGGAGTTTTTGAATCCAAAGAGAAATGGGGATTTGTTAGTTGGAATATGGTTCTAATTGACGAAAATATGTGCTTTTATATTACTTTATTTCTATGAATATATCAGTTATTAACTAAGTTGAAAAAAGCTGATCCAATTAATTACAGGAACAATCCAATTTCTTTTTGGTCTTTTTAATTACAGGAACAATCAATATTTACATATGACAAATAAATCTGACACACTTTCCTCACTTTTAGTGAAGTTTGAACCCTTGACCTCCTAGAAGGCCAAAAACTCACATACCGCTAGGTCAAAATTTTATTTTGGTTATTGTTTGTGGTATGAAGGGTTTTTAAGCAGATATATTTAGTTGTTTTGATTAGTGCACACCACATAAACCCTTGAGGTCTGTCTCATTTGGAGAGTGGACATGCGTTTGAATGGTAGTCATCATGCTATTTAGGTGTACTTTTGTTTTTCTTAATAAAATTGTCAAATGTACTATTGTCTTTCCAAAAACAAAAAATTTCATACAATGCCATCAATTATACAAGCAATGCATACATGATCCACTAGACGATCTTTAATGTTACTCATTTTATTTCATTTTACAACTTTATTTCTTAACAAAACTATATAATATATATAATCGATTAGTTAAATTCTACTAATATATGAATCGTATAGATAATAATCCATTGATGATTGTATTTAACAACTACAAGTTATTTATATATATAATCTACATTACTACTCAAATTACTCATATTACCGTGCAACGCACGGTTCCCACCCTAGTCTATATATCTATTAAAAGAAGAACCAAGAGAATTGAGGTGACATCATGAGAATTGAGTATTGAGGTGTTGATGAATTGTGGTTGAGTTTGAGGTATCCCATATTGGTGAAAGATTGAAATAAAAAGAAGAACCAAGAGGTAATTAGGTGCATCATAAGAATTAAGTATTTGAAGTGTTGGTGCATTGTAGTTGAGTTTGAGATATCTCACTTTGATGAAAGATTGAAGATTGGAATAAAGATATGTGTATAAGAAAAAAAAGCATGAAATTCATTCTGTCAACTCAAGAGGCTTAACTTATTTGGATGACTCTATTTTGCAAAACAAATCTTATTATATAAAAATAAATTGTGTTTACAATCATCAATATATATATATATATATATGTATGTTTATGTATCAATCTTCTTTATATATAAAGTAAGATCCACAAGAAATGATGTGGCACCTTAAGAATTGAATATTCTATATTTTTTATATAGAGGTTGAGTTTTGTGCATCTCATTTTGATGGAGAGATGAAAGATCGACAATTGATGGTAGGTATATGAGATGAGGTTGATGTGTCTTTGTTTTAACTCATGAGATTTGATTCTCTTAGCTAATCTTATCACAAGCTCATGTTGGCTAACCCTACAAACTCATGGGGTTTGTTCATTTTGACGAACCCTCTATTTGCAAAAAAGTTGTCTATATAAAAAAAATCAATATATCAATACAAACTAAAGCTAGAAAATAATAAGGTGACATCATTAAAACCAAATATTTTAAAATTCTTGCATGTGGTTGGATGTTGGGTATCCACATTGATTAGAAATTGATACGTTAACGAGGAAAATGAGTATATAAGAGAAATATGAGTTGACTTTGAAAATTAAAAGGTTTATTTGACTATATAAGTCATGTTTATCTTTAAATGTTTGGAGCAATTGTCTAAACTCACATAGTTGGATCTTTTATACTGACAAGAGGGGAGAAGGAGAAGGTTTAAGATGAAACCGAGAGAAAAGAGGTTATATAAGCCTTAAATGTAAGAATAAAATCATGTATTTGATTAGAAACAAGTTTTAAAATTCAGATCCACTTGTGTTGTGCACGTGCATTAATTAATTAATTACCCAAAGCCTACAGAATTATTCATTTTGTTTATTTCTAAAATTATTCATTCTAATTTTAAAATTAAAACAAAACTGTATTTTTACCTTCATAAAAATTTAAATACTTTTTACTAATTATAGCTTTCTTATTATTTTCCTACTTGTCATGGTGCAACTATTTTGGGAGAAGTTTCCAATCTTTTAAAGTGACGTAAAACAAAAACAAAAAGACTAAAATGCCCCTCAAATAAGAGGCATGTGATTAGGTGTGCCTTAGATGAAAACACTTAATTAATTACGAATTGCAAATTAACTACAATAACAAAAATCATAATTAATGAACACTACAAGGACTAAAACTGAAATTTTCATGTAACCACATGGACCAAAAATGTAGTTTACTCTTCAGATTTAAATAATGGCAAATGAAAATTAAGTATATATTTTTTTCTGATCTGCCCTACTTGTATAGTTGTATATGTTATTGTATATATACACACTAGACTATACCAATATATATATATATATATATATATATATACAGAGAGAGAGAGAGACACATGTATGCACACATCTCTCTCCCTCCCTCCCCCTCTAAATAAATCAAGATGATGGCAAGTAAGGGTGGGGGTGGCGGTGGCGTTCCCAACATAATACAACCAATAAGCTCAGCCGAGTGTTGCATGTGTGGTGATTACGGCTTATCTGAAGAGCTTTTCAGATGCAAAATCTGTAAATTCCGATCTCAACACAAGTAATTCGATTCGAATCCATCTGGGTTTTTCATTTTCACCTCATTTTTCTTGAAAAAAATTCCTACTTTTTTAATTTATTTGCAGATATTGCAGCAATCAGTACCCTAAAGCCGAGTCATACAAAGCCTGCAATTGGTGCCTGACTCAGAAACATGACTCAGGGAACTCATCCAACTCGTCGTCGTCCTGCAGAAACAACTCCGGAGACGATCGCCGTGATCATATCGCCGTCAAGAACAAAAGAAACCCTAATGATAGAATTGGCCATGGAGGTCTAAGGGAAAGAAGAAGAGCTTCAGAGATACAGTTGACCAACACTGCTCCGATCAAAAAACTGCATGGATCATCGGCGGAGGAGGAGTCTCCGGTATCAACCGGCCGGAAACGGTTTGGCGGTGGTGTGGTGGAGAAGAAGAATCATGTTGTGTTGAGAAAGTCAAAGTCAGCAAACCACATATCACATAGTCATGGCGATGGCGGTGGGGGCGGGGGCGGTGGGATCAAAACAAGACAAGTATTTAGAAATAAGGTTAGAAGGTATAAATTATTAGATGAGGTCTCAATCCAATGATAATTAAGACATCCTCTCTTTTGCTATAATGGTTTGTACTTTATGTATAAAAACTTGTACATTCTCTTAATTTAAGATTTTCAAACCAAATTAATGGTATTTTATTTAACTGGTATACGTTATGTTTCGATCTGTTTAAGGGGTTAATTTATCTGATTGGTCTAGTATTCAATGGATAAAAACGTAAATCAGACCGAGAGTTTCCATAAGAAAAAGAATTGCATATGTTTAAACGTGTTCAGATTCTTTAGCGGTGGCGTGACGAAAAGGGTACTAACTTTTGAATTTTGGAGTTAGAGTCACGTATCCATAATTGTTGCGGAATCAAACATATATAAATTAATCAGAAGACGATCAAATATTCCACCGTTTCAAATATATTCTAAAAATATGAATTGAAAGATCTTTGATTTTTTTGATAAAGAAAAAGACCGATGCAATTATTTAATTATTGAATTCAAATATGAAAATTCCATGAAATTGCTTTGGAAGATATTTCTATTGAATTTATTGTTATAGAATAAATAATAATTGATAATGGGATCTTGTTTCTTATAGTCTTATAAAAGCTGTCGTTTGATTTTGATTCTATAAGTGAATTTACAAAATGATGCTTCGCTTTTTATTAAGACTCTATTTTACTTTATGTTATAAATGATGATCTAATCGTACAATAATACGTACGAAGACTAAAAAATTGCATAAAGCATTTTTTTACGCATCAGTTCTGTCTTTCAGACATTTGTTTTATTGACTAACTCTAGAAAAATCACCTTACCAAATATGTAGTAATGTATTTTACAAGTGTTGCAACTTTTACTAATTATATTTAACGCAAATATTTGTCGCATTATGATTCTTTTCCTATTTCTATGGACTAGCCTAAAACTCTTTTTATGCTAAAATACAGATATATTATTGTTAAGAATAGTATTTGAAATCAAATGGTGATATTGTTCGACCGTAGAAACGTTACGTTTCGTTAATGTTTAAAAGGCTCCATCTAATCGGCCAGTGACGTCCACAATGTAAATTGAACCAAGAATTTCATAAGAAATAGAATTGCATACACGTCAAAATGAGTTCATATTCTATAACAATAACTTGAACGAGAAAAATACAACTTTTAAATCTTGAGAGTTACAGTCACGTATCCATAATTGTCTGGAATCAAACATATGTCGATAAGAAGATGTTGTGTCTATTTATTTATATATATTCTAGAAATATCAACTGGAACTTTAAAAAGAGATATGATTATTTTGATAAAAAAAAAAGACCGATAAAATATACCATAATTATTTCATTGTTGAGGTCAGAGTTGGAAATTTCAGGAGAAGATACTTCATCTTGACTTTCGACTTCTTTTTTATTGAATTTTTTTTATGAATAATTGGTATCACAACAATTATGTGATGATTGTTACACTTAGTTTGATTTTGATTCTATAAAGTTGAAGTACAAAATTACCCCTTGTTTCTTTTGTAACAAAATATCACCCCTCTTGACATTGTTGTATACAACATTAAAAAAAAACTAGAATCGTTAAAGTATATTATTTTAACAAAATACGTAATATGACATGTTTTTTATATGTTTTTTTACAATTTACTCATATTATGAGGTTTTTTTCGTCGTAAGGAGGATTTCTAGCGACATGGAACTTTGATATCTGTAACTATTTCGAATCCGCTAATTCGCACAAATAGTTTAAAAGGTCTTTTTGTAGTTAGACGTCTGATATTATTGTTATAAATAGTATGTGATATATATATCAAGTAGTCTACTCAAATAAAGTTTATGGTGATGTTATTTGACTACAAGGTTCTAAATGACGTTATAACGAGATCAAACTTTACGAGTTACAACAAGGTCACAACATTTTTTAAAGTGTGTCCTAAGATGACACACACACATATATACATGTGTATGTATAACAAACACAAGTACTTAGTGTTCTGAATAATATCATAGAACAATTTAAATTCATATAAAGTTATAAAACTAAAAAAAAAAAAAGAAACATGAATATCAAATTTATAGAGTTTATAATGATATTAAGAGTGCAAAATCGCGATTAAATCTTTTGAGTACATGCTCACTACTTTTTTCCAATCTTCTAGGAATTATGTTCGACTATTTGTGTATGGGAACAAAGGTAAGAATTACCTATTTAGGGTTTAAGTTTTTAACTTACCTTTTATATTATTTTAAGTGTTAGGTCTCATACGTACTTAGCATTCATATATTAGAAAAAACTCACGTCTTACAAAATAGTGTGCCATAACGCGTAACATGGCCACGAAGCCAAGCCTTGATACCAAAGGGCCTTTGGCTTAGCGGTATCGTAGCCCTTGGCCTTCAAGGAGGTCAGGGGTTCCAACCCCACCATCGGTGAAGAGGGTGTGTGAGTTTATTTGTTGCATTTGCCGTATATAAATATTATATATACTTCAAAAAAAAAAAAAAAAAAAAAAACCTTGATGTCATAATGTGTCAAAACGGATTATTTAGAAAGCATAATTAAGCTTGCAATGGATTTCTTGAACTTGTTATGTATTAAGACATACACTTTGATTGTGTATGGTCATTGTTTATTTGTTTTCACATGTAAATAAAATAAAATGATTGGATAATTGTTGTAGATATTTATTCCTGCTTTTGAAGATTTTATGGTCCTCAAATGTCCAATTTGATACCAAACACTTGTAGATGCAACAACTCCAATGGACTACATTCAAGCATCCTAATGAATGTGACTTTTTCACTTCCCTTTTTATTCTTTAATCATAATAATTGATTATCTTACACATATATTTTTTTTTACTAAATTGTCACACCATAGTATTTATTGATGAGGTGGAGCGACATCATCGTCTTAAACCGTACGTGTTAGACAATTAGTGAAGCTGATATCAAAGAACGTAACAGTCATTGTACCTTTCATATCAAAAGGACATGTCAAACAGTTTATGACAGTCATAGTGATATGTTTCGATTTTGAAAACAAGCAATACATTTTTGATATGTTGCATGAGGGTATATATGCAAGTTGTTACAACCTATGTGTTATATGAAATAGACTTGGTATCGAGTTTTATATTATATGATGTATCAAATGTTTCACAATAAATATTTTATATCAACCATAGTAATCAAGTGGTGTCAGTTTAATCATTAACAATTATAGTTGGTTGGTAGTACTGTATCAAATATGTAAATTTGGTTGATACACAGTATCGGAGGTCGCATACCACGATAGTACCTTCACTACAAAACAAATGACTTCTATCCATAAAAAACATCCGGGGAAAATACCAATGAATCACCCAGAGAATCCGTGGGTAATCTGTTACTGATTTGAATTACCCATCAACAATTTACCCACCAACTTTTGTGACGGTTTTGTGATGAATCACCCATTAGCGACAGATTTCCGAGGGAAAAGTTCGTAAAAGGTCTTTCATTTAGTAGCGCATGGTACCGACTTATTTACTTATTTATTAGGTTTTGTGTTTTTTATACATTGTAACTTTAACTATGTTACTTGAACATTTGCAAATTTTAAACATCATATGTACTGCTTAGAAACTCAAAATGTCACAAAACTTAAACAAAACGGCAAGATTTCATATATGTAACTTGAAGTTGGTACACTATCAGTACCAATATGTACCAACCAAAAAAGTTGGTACCAAGTACATTTGGTTGGTACACGGTATAAGATTTTACTTAGCACTTATAATTTGTTGGTACATGATATAAGATTTTGCGTACAAATTATAATATGTTGGTACACGGTATTAGATTTTTGTGTATCAATTATAATTGGTTGGTACGGGGTATTAGGGGAAAAACTTAGCACCATACCAAGTCCAGCTCTAGGCATGAATTTATTAGCCGACTAGTTTTATATATCTAAGGAGAAGGCTATGACGATAATAATAAAATAAAAGAGAATGTCTAAATTAGACAGATGAGGTGATATGTTTTGGCATGTTATGTTCACTACCAAAAAAACCCCTTTTTCCGGCGGCCAAATCCGCCGGAAATCAGCCGGAAAAAGGGATTTCCGGCGGATTTCCGGCGGATTTGGCCGCCGGAAAAAGGGGCGCCGCTGTTTTTTTTTTCCGACGGTTTTTCCGGCGGATTTTACACTTTTCCGGCGGATTACGGCCGCCGGAAAATCTCCGCCCGTTTTTTAAAAGAATCTTGATTAACTTAAAAAGTAATTAAATTTTTTTT